GTCGTTTCTCTCTCCGAGGCTTGCTGAGAGAGGAGAAACGGGAGAGCAGGGCTGCCTTAAGTGAAAGGCGGTCCGCGAGTGGAGAAAAGCGAGACTCATGCTCGAGTGAGCATTCTGTCTCAGTAAGCACGTAGCTCACTGCCCTTCTGCGGCGGATCCGAATGCAACGGAGAGAGAGCACGCAGGCACAGCGCCTGCATGAGATCAGTCAGACCGATTGCTTATTCCCTGACTCCGCTGTTTCCCTCTCCGAGGCTCGCTGAGAGAGGAGAAACGGGAGAGCTGGGCTGCTTTCAGTGAAGGCGGTCCACGAGTGGAGAAGAGCGAAACTCATGCTCGAGTGAGCATTCCGTCTCGGTGAGAGAACAGTCTCTGCGTGGGGTCTGCCCAGACAGATGACATACTCATTGCTCTTCTGCATCGTGCAAGTTTCCCTGCACGAGCCACACTCGCAGAGCGACATTTGCAACAACGTCGCTAGAATTTGCTCTTTTAGGGCTTACCTGCTAGAAATAAGCTCTTTTAGAATCGCCGGATGGCGGCAGGGGAAACGGACCGGAACTGCTGTGTCACTGTAGCAGCGGAGAAGCAGGTCAGCTGTGCTGAGAGGTCCCGATTTCAGTTGCGAAGGCGTGTCAACGGCGAGCAGGCTTTCAGGATCAGCGATGAACGTAGAGTCGTCGCTGAAGGAGAAGAAATCTGAGAATCCTGTGGCGAGCGCCCGCTTATATAGCCAGATGCCCCGCCCATTCTGGCGGGCTTTGGCTGGCTTTGGCGGGCTGCGTGAATAAAAAAGACTTCAGTTCAGGAGAAAAAGGCTTTTTTCCCATATGCGTCTAAGCAAGACGCAGTATGAGTGAAGTATCGAAAGGGAACATAACTCTGCCATAGCAAGACCCAAATGAATCACTTGAATTTTATGCATCATATGCACTTTATTCATTTTTCATTTATGGTTGCACTTTATTATGATGCATTTTATTCCTTCTTTATTCATTATTCATTTAGCAGTTGTTGATTACTCTTGTCTATATTTTGTTAATAAAATTGATCTTATTAAACTTGTGTCTTCCTTGTGTTGATAATACAGTAAGAGGTTCAAGTTAGGTATCCCACCAATCTTTCTTATCTGATGTACTCAGTGACACATGATCCAAAAACCATAACGTCATCGGTGACGTGAATATCTATCACTACACTAATTCGCCTCCCTAGGTTGGCGTAAGCAAAATCACTACAATGTACTATGATATAATGTCATAGTTACTGCCGTGAAAATTGCATGATTCTACATTTGATATATTTTCAATTGCATCTTTCATGTTTTATGAAAAATAAGCAAATAAACCGTGGAAGCAAAGAGAGGAAACAATACAAAATTCATTTGGGACACGTATGGTATAGAAAAGCAAAAATACAAAAAGAGAGCAAAACAAATATAAAAACAAAATGAGCAAGGAAAAGCTAAACAGACAGCACTACAGAAATTGACATCACATTGGATATTGGATACAATATTGTCATTTGTTGTGTATTGTGAACCTCAGTGCTTCTCAGTGCAGCAGTGAATCCATCAGTGAATCGACTCTCGTATCAGTTCACGAGTCCTGTGACGTCATTGTGTGTGTTGATGTTGACGTTGCTCATCAAAACACAGAAAGACACTTTCAAGTTCATGTAAAATAAACTAAAATAGACATGTTTCAGTGACTTGCATTGTGTTGAATGAATGAAAATGCATCATATCTGTGTTTCTTCTGCGTTTAGTGCTGATGTTCCTCATGCAGTCTGGACTCACTGAAGGTACTGTGCCGTACTGCAGTACATTTGATTTAACAAATGTGATTTGTTTTCTAGGCCTATTATGTTTATTTGCCTGCAATGCAGTGTTTTTGTCATGAGGAGGTTTTGAGTTCATAACAGTGATTTATACAGTGATACTGTTGGTGATCAATATTTACTCTTATGTGTATTAATACAGCGAGACCAAAAGCTGTAGTGAAGGTGACTCCAGATCAGCGTGTGTTCAGAGGAGAGACAGTCACTCTCACATGTGACATACAGGGAGGAGGAAACATTCAGTGGACATACAGCTGGTTTAAAGATGTAAACACTTTCTATCCATACAGAACAACAAGAACAGCAGAGTTCAGTTTCAGAGCTGATTATGTGTCTTACAGTGGTAAATACAGCTGTAGAGGAGAGAGATCAGCTTCACAGAGATCAGACATCAGTGCTGCTGTTACACTGACTGTATCAGGTGAGTCTTCAGATTCACATCTGTTTAATGCTCATTTATGTGTTGCTCCAGTGTGCATAAGTATAATATTGTACAGCTCTGACTGATTTAATTGAACAATGTATTTAGAAAACGATTTGCTAAAATAATTATATTAACAGCAACAATGAAATAAGAGAGTACAGTTTATCCGTCAACCAGATGCATGTGAAAGTTGTGTTACTATAACCCTGCATGTTTTCTTCAGAAAAATGAAGAAAGCATGAAAAAGCATTAAAACTCTGAGGACTCGCATCCACATTTTAAAGTCACAAGGAAACAGAAGTAGTGACGGATCATATCTTCTGTATTCTGAGTGATTATCAAAAAAAGAGAGAATAAAAGGAAGGCAGGACTTGGTTCTGTCCATCAATTGTTGGTGTTTTAGTAGATTCTGAGATGTGGCCACTGCACTAAACAACAGAGGCTGATGTGAATGTGAGCTTGCAGTGGAAAGAAAGAGCCAGAGTTTTAGCCAAGGGTGCAAAACTCAGTTCCTGAAAGGCCACACAGTCCTGCAGCCTCTAGTTTCAGCCCTGTTACCTGTAGCTCTCAAACAAGCCTGAAGGACTTGATTATTGTCACGCCTGCCAGCCGGAGTGCCTATGATAGCCACAAGAGAGCACTCCTTCCGTCTTTGTCTTCTTATCATGGACTGCATTTCCCATTACCCATTGCCTGGACTCATCATGCCTGATTACTTTCAGCTGTTGCTCTTTACCTTGTTAACTCACCCTGTATAAGCCCTGGGCCCTAGTCACAAAACATTTTATCTTAAAACTAAAGCTGTGTCCCAAACTGAAGTGCACAGACACCGAATGGCGCATTTGAAGTGTGATTGTGTCACAGTGTCACGACGTAAACTGTCCCAATTCAGAGGCCCTGTCCCAAATGGAACACTTCATGTGCACTTTCGTTCTTGCGGACTTACAATGGCCGCTGCGTACACGTGTCCGTTAAGTCCATGAGACCGTAGGGTGTCCCATTCATCATTTTAGCGTTCAAAAGGGTGCTCGAGAGTGCCCCCTTTGCGGCCGTTATGCGCCCTCGATCCGCACTTCTGCCGAGCCCTCACCGGGGCGAGCTACGCAGCAGACTTCTACCCGACAGTCAAAGCGGCATTACGTCACGAAAGTGCAGACTCACAGGAAGATCGTGAGGGTTTAGGGTGCCATTTGGGACAGGGCCAGAATGTACCCTCCGAGGACCGCATTCCAAGACCGATTGCGTAACGAAGGCTGACGTATTTCGAAAGCGACTTCAAATGCGACCTCCATTTCCCAGGAAAATAAAGTGTACATCTGGGTAGGGTTGCACCAGCCATTCTTAAGTTCTTACTTAAATTAGAACGTTAAGTCCACACTAGAGGCTTAGTAACAACTAGCTAGTTTGTAACTAAATCTATACATTATTTGGTTGCACCGTAAGGCAGGACCTTGCAAGTAGTTTGTAAACTCTCCGTAAAGTAATGCATAGTCTCATAATATGACGTTTACCCTAAATCATCCAATAGAAACCTTCAAATGCGCGAGCAGAACTTGTTTAAATGCTATGAATTTTGATTTATCCTTCATTCTAAATTATTTTGCTTCACGTATAGCCTACTAACGGTAAAAATATAAACAAGTTTCCATAAAAAATGATACATTGATAACATTAGTCTATAGGCCTATGTAAGCTATTTTTATATGTAACTAACATTCAGAAACTATAATTGAGATAAGGATCAATAAATACTAAAACAAAATTATTTATTGCCATTTATTTGTTATTTCATTTGGCATGCGCAACACGGACCGAAGCACACAGAGGCGCACTGTAGATGATGGGGTGTTGAAGACGCGCTAAAAAAGAAACAATTCACAATGTTTATTCACATATTGTTCTCTCTCTTAATATGTACGTGAGTGTAAATGTCAGCAGCATCATATATGCCTAAAGGATTGAAGGTTGTCGGGTAAAAGAAGAGCATATTGATGCAGTTCACTCAGTCTGCTATTTTATTCCAACCGTTTCTCCTGACTCTTCCGTAAATATTTAGTTTATACGTAGAGTTACACTTCAACTAAGTGTAATGGTGCAACGAAAAAAATAGTAGTGCGTAAGTCCATCTTCAAGAAACGACTAAAAACACATCTGTTCCACCTTTATTTGACCCTCTAACTCTAGCACTTTCTATTCTATTTTAATTCTACTTAATCTACATTTATCTTCTTTTTTATATAATAATAATAATTTATATTTTTCTATTCTATTTTTTCTATTCTATCTACTTGTTTTTCTTTGTTTGTGTGTGTGTGTGTGTATATGTGTGTGTATAATAATATAATAATATAATATATATATATACACCCTGCTACGTGTACTGCGTTAGGCTAACCGAGACTTGTCATTTGCACTTATATATTGTATTACTGCTGCACTGATGTGTATGTTGCATTTTACTTCTGAATATGTTCAAGGTTATTAAATTGAAAGTTGCCTACTAAATATACTGTTGGGTAGTTTAATCTACAACAATGCATCATGTTGTAAAAGACCATACTTTTAGTGTTGCTGTCTGCGAGAAAAAAATAAAACTTAATACTTCATATTTGTACGAGAATGTCAAACAGAGCACTGTTCAGCTGTGACAGCTGCCGCTGAACATTGAGCTGTACAATGCTCTATTTTTTTTATTCACAGTTTTATTTTTGCTAACCTGTCTACATATGATCACCATGGTCAAGACAATAAACTATATACAATCGCACCCTTTGTAAGATATCAGTCAGCATTTGAACTGCTATGTGTGTCTGTGTGTATTTTGTAGTTTTTCATATGTATCATTACATTATTCAAGTAAGCTCCAAGCCAATTCCTGCATTTAAAGTTGTAATCCGACGCAGCAAACCAGTGTAACTTGCCTGGCCTCGGTCTTGGCTAAGCCTGAAGTAACATCACCGTCTCCTCCATTTATGACGTAAAACATAAAAACAAAAATCCACCTATCCTGTCAGGATTGTCCTCTCGTCAGCTCTTCTCTCTCACTGTTGCCATGCGACAGAGCGCTAATCGGGAACCTCTAGTGTCGCAATTAGGAAATCCTGTGAAGGCGGAGCGTCCTTCATGCACTTCGGAGGCCTGGTCTTCGAAGTCCGTGGCCTTCGAAGTGTGCACACTCAACTTTGGGACACAGCTTAAGAGTTCTCCTAAAGAGCAGTAAAAGTTTTTAGCCAAGTGTTTCCTCTTAAAACCTATTCACAAAGCTGCTGAGACCAACTTTTACTAAGGAATTGGGAGAAATATTAAACTAAGAGAAAGGGCAGGGTGAACTTTTTATTAATGATATCAGCAAGCTTACTAACTATGCCCACAGTGATTGGCTGAGAGGGGATGGCTTTCTGTAAGTGATTTGATTTTAGAAATATTGTAGAAGGATGTAAATGTTTACCTAATTAAAGTATCTTTTGAAAATTAAAACATGTAAGTTGTAGCAACTTTACATGGCTGCTCGCTCTAGCATTAACCTAGATAAATGAGTGTTACTGAGTGTTTGTGCGGAAGCTAGTAGCACATGAAGGCGTCGTGGATCACTGGCACTTTTTCCTGATAGTTTTGGAAACAAAATATGCCGTAATTTTTGCTCATACAGATAAGAGTATTATATCATTCTACTCTTTTTTTGTGTGCAAAGCACATGAACTTCACATGTGCAATCACGTGTTAAAATCAAATGCGAAATATGTGAACCACATGTGAAACTCGCATGAAATGTGGTCTTGACCCTTTGCCTACTATTTGGATTAAGACTGTAGATTTCTGAGCCACAGCCATATCACCCTGCAGCCCAAGACTGGTTGACCACTGAAGCTAAGCAGGGCTGAGCCTGGTCAGTACCTGGATGTGAGACCTCCTGGAAAAACTAGGTTGCTGTTGGAAGAGATAACCGGTGTCCTGGCCAAATTGCCCCCCTGGCCTTTGTCAATCATGGCCTCCTAATAATCCCCAACCACTTGATTGGCTCTATGACTCTCTCTCCTCTCCACCTGTAGCTGGTGTGTGGTGAGCTCACTGGCTGCCGTTGCATCATCCAAGTGGATGCTGCACACTGGTGGTGGTTGAGGAGAGACCCCCACACATGATTGTAAAAGCGCTTTGGGTGTACAATAAAGCGCTATATTAATGCATCATTCATTCATTCATTCATTTCCCCTTAATAAAGCTGTGTTTGGATCTTCAACCCAAGGCTCAGAGCAGTGATTTGTTACAATTAGCAGGATCAGGTGCGTTTAATTAACGTTGAAGCTAAACTCTGCAGAGCTGCAACAGTTAAAGTGGACTAAATGGAATAAACTGGAGAAGTCCAGCAAACATCACCAAAAGAGAAGTCTTTGTCATTTCACTGGATGGATGCATGGATGAATTAAGTTCTGTGAAACATTTACAAAATTTCGAAAATCACTTTGTTTTTGTCTTTCTTCACAGATTTACCCAGATCTACACTGACTGTGACACCAGACAGTCCTGTATTCACTGGAGAGACAGTCAATCTGAAGTGTGTGATTGAGTCTCACAGTAACTGGAGATATGAGTGGTATAAAGGCACAGACAGTGTAATGTTACATCCGTCTGAGCGTTACACTGTAAACAGAGACACTCTCACTATCAGAGGAGCTACTGAGTCTGATCAGGATCAGTACACGTGTAGAGGACAGAGAGATAAAAGACCAAAATCATCACAATCAAGCTCTGTTTCTCTCTCTGTGATGGGTGAGTCGAATTTTATTCTTCCTAAAAACTCACTTCACTACATGAACACACACAGCGTCCAGATTTCAGCCGAAAATAAACATAACATTATACCAGACTGTATTATATTCAAATTAAAGTTTTCATGGTTTCCATCATTTATGAGTTCATAATACAAAAAAAAAAGAGTTCAATGTCATTTCATCAAAGCTAACAAATCTAAAGACTTGTTGAGCAGTGTAAACTCTGTCAGTGATCATAACGGGAATTTAGCCACTGTTCAAATCACAGACTCAATCACTTATAGACTCCAGCAGTTATAAAGAAAACAATTACAGTATCGATAAATCACGCTACTAATGGGAACAGTGTGAAACTGATTGTTTAATCATTGGCTTGATTTACGAATGCATAAACAGCAGAAAACCACTTTGTGACGACGAACATCTGTACACGAGCCCTTGCATATTACACAGATCAGGCCATGATGCTCATGAAAGGCAGTTTCAGGATTTTATCGAGGTTAGGGTTAGAAACTTTGTAAAGTTAACAGAAGTATCACTCTTGTGATTGATGGACAGATATGAGTTGTTCAAAACCATAGACTGTCTTAAAAAAGAAAGGACAACACTTCTCTACATCCTTCCACTATAGAAAAGTGAAGCCAAAACATCCTTAGTATGGCCGCTGTCGTCTTGCACCAGTGACATCATTTGGAGCCAGAGTCTGTGCAGTATTACTGATCATGAGCTGGAGCCGCGGTATTCAAAATTCCACCCAAACTCCTGCAGACCAAATCGCAAGCTCACAATCATGACCCCACACCCTGTTTTTATAGCATCAAATAATGAAAACTGGGGGGGAACAAACTGTAAAACCATTGAACTACCTAAAATAATTTAAAACATCTTTGGGAAAAACATTTTTGAAGTGTAATTTGATGTTTTAGTTTGGCTCACATCCAAGAGGACGGGGTTTATGACCTACACTGCAGCAGCCATCAGATGGCGATCAAACTGTTTGGGCTTCACTTGTTCTGAACGGCTCTTTTCAGAGCAAGCCATTTTGTAGCATTTTCCTTTAAATGTTAATGAGCGCTGCTAACCCCGCCCCTCTCTTCCGAGCTGCTCTCAGAGAGACTGTTTACAAATTATTAGGAAAGGCCATGGGCGGCGCTAGGGAGGGGCTAGCAGGTGCTTCAGCACCCCCAATAAAGACAAAAGCTCCCCAATAGCACCCCCACAGATTTTTTTCCTGGAATCAATTATAGGCCTATACATGCTAGCCTGTTGTATTTAATAATTAAGATGATGATAAAAAAAGAAACGAAACAAACAAAAAAACATTTGATTCCTTATGCATGTATAACTCGTGCAATGCAATAACGACGATTCTGCAAAGTTCAGCTCCAACCCTGATCAAACACACCTGAAGCAACTAATTAGGGTCTTCAGGATCACTTAAAAATTAAAGGCAGGTGTCTTTGATTAGAGTTGGAGCTAAACTTTGCAGGACAGTCGATCACCAGAAGCAAGGTTGGGCACCCCTGCTACAGCCTATTCCGCGCTCAAGCTCGCGCATAAAGCAATTGCCTCAAAGCACCGGCAAAGTGATTATGAACGTGCCGGGGGAAAAGAAAACATTTTAAATATTTATTAATAAACTAGTGCTTTCACAAATACCTCCAAATCTTACCTCCAAAAACCCCTCGCACATTCTTATTCATTTCAAAACTGTACACAAAATGTATTGTACCCCATATAAGCGATACTTGATGAAACTCTCATCAAATCCTAATTGCAGTCTGTGTAACAATAGCTCTAAAGGTACTTTTTTGCATATGTTTTGGGACTGCTCAGTTATATCCAATTTTTGGAAACATGTAGTTCAAGTACTAAAACATATCACAAAGTTGCAGTTTGACCTTGATCCTTGTCTTATGTTGTTAAATGATGATTCTTCCTACAACTTTACATTAGTTCAGAGAAGATTGTTAATGTCTGGTTTCACTGCTGCTAAAAAAACAATTACACAGCAATGGTTCACTCCTGACATGGATCTTAGAAGATTCTGGCTGCTGTCTTTTCATTATATTGTTTGTTTAGAACGCAGCACTGCAAGGATTAATGGGGCTAGAATACAAACTGTCACTTATTGGAGTAGTATAGCCCAAGCTCTAAAACAATTGTTTTAAATTGATGATGCATTATTCTGTGTGGAAATTTGCTGCCGGGGTTTATTTGTATGTTGAGTGGGCGAGTTTTCCTCATATTTATTTTATTATTCATATAAAAAAATAATCATCTGTTTTGGTTATATTTACTATTAATTGCAGGACTCCAGACTGCGACCATTTTTTCTGCCTGTGTGACTACATTTTGTGAGCGGTCGCACTCGCGCGACCACCGCGTTGTTCAACTCATAAGCGCTGCCATTTCTGTTGCATATGAGAAACATCAAACGGCAACTCGTTTGAACTGCAGTGCTTTAGATTGTAGAGCCTGGTTTATACTCGCCGCGTCAGCAGGAGCGCAAAGGTGCGCGCAGCAAAAATGAAACACTGGATGGTTTTCACACTAAAGTAAAAGACCGCTTCTTAAACCAGAGAAGGTGAACATGTTGGTATTCTTGTGGGGGGGAACATGCAAGCACTGTCACCGGCAGCAAGTTTAGTTTTACTTTTCTTTTTGTTTTCCTTTTGAAAAGCTTATCTTTGCTGTTTACCTCATGTTATGCTGTGGAGGCTCTCTTTTATTTTTATTATTATTTGATTCCTCAGTGTTTGCTAAACATTCTGTAATTTATCTCATATAAATTATATAATACAGCATGTGGTGTATGCCATGCCTCGTCTTATTCATTTTGTTAATAAACGTTTTGTAATCTAGTTTGTCATTGTATCTTACTGTTTTATTGTTGTTGTGCTTTTTAATTAAAAATAACAATGAATTCATCTTTTGTTTTAGTCTTAAATAGTGAAAGGTGTGTAGATGAAAGCAAAACAGACAATTATCTTTTAAACGTAACAAGATTGCGAAATCGAAAGTGAAAGCATCTGTAAGGGAAACAGGTCAATTTAGCTCAAAGGGAATCATTTAAGATTTTAAAGGGAATTTGGACAGAATCACTGTTTTACGGCTGATCACTGAGACGGCCAGCGATTCATTGAACGGGCCGTATAACATCAACTCTGCAATGGATATTTATATCCAAAATATAGTGAAAACACTATTATATCTCTGACCATTAATCTTGCTTACTTGCCCCAAAATGGACAATCTCCTTCCTGAGATGTTATGATCAGTGTGTTCTCTGTGTTAATTTTGAAAGCTGTTCTGTGAAAGTTGGTTGGTTAGGCTTGCTTCAGACTGGCTTGTGGCGCCAGGATCTGATTTACGAACATCCTGTGTCTTAGGCCTCTGTGGAATTCGACTCCTCACTGCATTGATTAATCCCATGTTGTAGCAAAAAAATAAAATAAATAACGTGCTAGTGCCACCAGCTGAGAAAGTTAGTCGCAAAAGAGCGACCAGTGGGAAAAATGAGTCTGGAGCCCTGAATTGCCCAGCTCCCTCTGTCAATGATCTAGTACCCCCTCAGCACCTGCGTTCAAAATTATCTGGCGCCGCCCCTGGGAAAGGTGATTTGCAGATTCATTAAAAAAACCTTATACTCACTTCTTCTGTTGGTGAAGCTGGATCACGAATGATTCGCGCAAATATAAACGCATTTAGGTAGATCGGGGGCGCATTCCCTTCAAAAACAATGTAATCCACTGTGTCTTCAGCATCTCAGATGTCAGGAGTAAATTACAACACTGTCAGCACTGTAAACAACACTGGGTGGATTTTTTTTCATTATGTACACACGCTGCCAACACACATTTCAGTTCAAACAGCTTGTAAAAGTGCATGTAGCATCCGATGACCCCTTTAACGAAAACTATGAAGAAAAATGTTTGATGACAAGCTTTTTTTTACCATGACTGAAACGAGACTACAGTATTTTGTATTGTAAAGTAACCTCTCATATGTGTAAACATCAAGAACATTTGATTTACTGTTTCATGAACCCTTTAAAACTTCATCTTAACAAAACAATGAATGTGACTTATGACAGCACCTATTTGTGCCTGAAAAATTTCATAAGGTAAGAAACAGATTAACGTTCCAAAAACTAAATTTTCCCACATTAGGCCCAAAGTACCAGAGATGTAATAGACATTCAGCTTAAAGATCAACCATTATGGGTTTTTAATGGTCGATTCTTAAACAATTTCATTTTGTATATAAAATAATATGGATAATACACAATTACTATGAGTTAATACTTCATTGCAAGTCTCTTTTATCTTTATGTTTGTCTGCTTTTATCTTTAACAGATTCACCCAGATCTACACTGACTGTAACTCCAGACAGTCCTGTATTCACTGGAGAGACAGTCAATCTGACGTGTGTGATTGAGTCTTACAGTAACTGGAGATATGAGTGGTATAAAGGCGGAAACAACAGTGTAATGTTACAGACGTCTGAGCGTTACACTGTAAACAGAGACACTCTCACTATCAGAGGAGCTACTGAGTCTGATCAGGATCAGTACACGTGTAGAGGACAGAGAGATGAAAGACCAAAATCATCAGAATCAAGCTCTGTTTCTTTCTCTGTGACGGGTGAGTTGAATTTTATTCCTCCTAAAAACTCACTTTACTACATGAACACACACAGCGTCCAGATTTCAGCTCAACAACAAAAACGGTTATTTTGCTAATTTAATTCAAACTGGAGGTCAAATTATGAAAATTCTTGATGCCCTGAAATTTCATTATTTTTGTTGCCAATTTCAGTATTACACAAAAAAAATAATACTAATCTAAGTAAAAATAAGCTTACTGAAGACAAGTAAAGAGTCACAAATTAAGCTACAACTCAACAAAGATCATAAGAAATCGACCAACTTGAAAAACAAAACTCTGAATAACAAATATTATATTATATAAAGAAAATGTACAAATAGACTGAATAGTCTTCACTGTATAAATTCAACATACATTCATTGTTATTTATTTTACAAAAGTGATTCAGTCAAGGACAGTGAGTGGTTTTCTTTCTGATGTTTGATTTACATTATTGACACAAATGACAACAGCAGCTAAATTAGGCTGCTTTAGAGGAATAGTTCACCCACAAATGAAAATTATGTTGTTGTTCTAACCCTTTATGAGTTTCCTTCTGCTGTTATACACAAAATAATGTATTTGGAACAATACTGGTAACCAAACAGTTGCTGGGCCCCCATGACTTCCATGGTATGAAAAAAAATAAATAAATACACTATTGGAGTCAATGGGGACCAGAAACTGGTTATGATCTTTCTTCAAAATATATTTTTATGTTGAGGAGAACAAGGAAATTCATATTGGTTTAGAACAATTTGAGGGCAAGTATATGATGACAGTGGTGACTATCGCTTTAAGATCTCATCATATAATGTTACTTATAAATGTTATATAAAGAACTCCAGTTTAGTCAGTCGCAATACGAGCAGGTGCGCGCCGCACGTATCAGGCTGAGGCTGAACCCGTCTTAACGCACGCATTTACCAGAATGAATTCTGCCCCGCTGCTTATTAATGTCCATGAACAGTTTAAAACCATTTGATTTTACTTGCTTAAAACGCGTTTAAATGATAAGCTTAGCCTACATCATGATGCGCAAAACGATTGATAGGATTTCTACCGGATTTTCTCCCCACCCTTAAGCGAATATGTAGTTTGTTCAAACAGAAAAAGCAATATACATCCATCAAGTTAATAACCAAACTAACCTAAAAATCTGTGGGGATGATGACGCTGTGTTTTTTCTGCTCCATGTGCGCGGTCCACTCGGTTCCAACAACTTCCACTCCATCAGCTTTAGTAAAATAACCTGATAGCTGGGGATTTTACTGGCTAAGTTATGTTTTCTGTTGTTTGTATTTTACGTTTTTCGTTTATTGAGCCCCTCTCTCTCAGAATTGCTGACATTTTTACTTATCGGATATTGTTCTTTGTGCGACTATTTCCAGATCGGAGTGTGAATGCAGATATGGGGCAGCGATCACCTGATTGATATACGTGCACATATCGTTAAATAAATGTATTTGATTTGTAACCAAATTCAGATTTTACGTTTTAATCTCTAATGCTAATGCACGGAATTTATGGAAAAGCTCCACTAAATAATAGCACTAAGAGGGGGGCGTGGTGGGGCTTTGACGATCGGCGCTACAGATGGCCAGTAAATCTACTCCACAGCCAATCACGGGCCCCCTCCTTGCTCGGCCCCGGGGCTTCAGCCCCGCCTAGCCCAATGGTTAATACGGCCCTAGGTGAGAGTCAGTTTGCTGTTCAAGTTCATCAGACTGAAAGTCTGTTCACAGAGGTAGCTGCCAAACAGAGACAATGGGTCTCATTCACTTATAATTGTTAATTAATTAACAATGAATACACACATTCGAACTTCTCACGAAAACTTTCTGCCTAATTCACAACACGTGAGTACACACATGGATTTGTTCTTAACCTCGTATTCTAGATGTTTTCACTGACCAACTTAAATGTATTTTGTAAATATAAACACATTTTGATGGCTGCAACACTCTCCAAAAATGTTGGGACAGAGGCTAAATAAAAGTGTAAAGGTTGTAGAATACAACCTTTGGATATAGAATATCCAAATTAAATGGGAAGTCCATGGTTATCAGATCAAGACAATGGCGGGTCTCATTCTGCATGTACTACAACAGCATGGTTTTGTAGACACAGAGTGAATGTGTTTGACAGGCCTGCCTGCCGTCCAGATCTGACTCCTATTGAACATGTGTGACCAGTCATGAAAAGGAGAACCAGACAACGACGATCACAGACTGTCATCTATCAAGCCAGATTGGATGAAAAGATTGCTTGCAAAACTTTAACAATTAGTATTCTCAATTCCCAAACAACTAAACACTGTAATTAAAGGAAAGTTGATGTGACACAGTGTTAAACATTCCTCTGTCCCAACTTTTTTTGGAGTGTGTTGCAGTCATCAAAATCAAAATGTGTTTATATTTACAAAATAAAATTAAGTTCGCCAGTGAAAACATTGGGATTTTTTTTTTTTTTAGTCCATTAAATAAAGGTTAAAGAGAAGGAACAAATATTCTTGCTTTTATGGCATTTCACAAAACGTCCCAACTTTTCTGGAATTGGGCTTATAATTACTGTCAGACTTTCAAAATCCTTCATGACTTGAATTAAAATTATAATGATTTAATTTTAAAGCACAGCCACCACAACATCAGACCTTGAGATCATTCTGAAGTTAAATACAGATTTCAAATCATAAAAAGAAATAGTTGAATAGCTATACTGTTTTTGGGTGGGGTTTATGACCTACACTGCAGCAGCCATCAGACGGCGATCAATCTGTTTGGGCTTCACTTGTTCTGAACCAGTGTTAATTTCATTAACGAAAACTATGAAGAAAAATTTTTGTTGACAAGCTGTTTTTCCCATGACTGAAACGAGACGACTTTTGTATTGTAAAGTAACCTCTCATATGTGTAAACATCAAGAACATTTGATTTACTATTTCATGAACTCTTTAAAAGCTTCATCTTAACAAAACTTACTGTGAGTTAATACTTCATTGCAAGTCTCTTTTATCTTTATGTTTGTCTGCTTTTATCTTTAACAGATTTGTTAATGGTGAGTAAATACTGTGATAAACACTCGCCTGTTCAACATTATCAGGCACTACAATATATGCACTGATACATTTAAAAATTAAGTAATTATCAGTTTTGTGTGGCTTAAAGACGCCTCCTTATGGGCAAATAAGGTTTATTATAGATGTCCTAGATGAGTAAATATCAATGCTATCTTTGTTCAAATTAATGTTATACCCAGCAGGAGCATGGGGGGTCAGAAGCCTTGAAATATTACGTTTTATGAAATATTATGTGACTTACAATGAGATCTGCATGTTTGTCATGTTCTCCGGTCTCAGCAGCTTCACCTTCTCTTCTGGTCACTGGTGTGGTTGTGGGATTGAGTGTTTGCCTGTTGTTCTTCCTCTCACTGCTGCTGATGTGGAGATACAAGAAGAACAAAGGTGTGGAGCAGTTCATAACATGATTAATACAACTGAACAGCAACAATAACGTTTCTGAGTAAAGGCTCATGAGAAGATCTGAATATCAGACTAAAGAGTCACTGCAGATACTCTTGAGTGATCATAATGCTCTTTGTTTCTGTTATAGATCAGCAGCGTAACATTAACCAGACATCAGTCCCAAATCAATCTGCACAATCTCAACTGGAAAACTCTCCTCTACAGTCTGGTCAGCCTCAATAACTAATTATTAAAAGGGATAGTTCACACACACAGACTCACACTCACACACAAAAAGAATTACCCATGTCATTTCAAATCTATATGACTGTCATCTGTGAAAAAAAAAGATATTTTGAAAAAGATTATAATAATAATAAAAAAAAAATATATATATATATATTATAATTATTAATATATTATGCCCATATAATAAAAATCAGTTGGGTTCAACTTGGACCCCAGCATTGTTCAAAATATATTTTTGAACCATCCCTTTATTCTTCATACATAAATATGCTTTTTACCTCATATCTTCAAATGCTTGTTTGCTGTCCAGCAGGTTCTGATCACATTTATGACGACGTGACTGAAGTGAATAAGAGAGACAAAGGTTGAGTCTTAAACCATCTAAACACATACCGTTCGAAATCAGCAAATATCATTCAATCATGTCGACTTGTTTGTTTTAGATGATCCAGAGCCATTTTTGGAGGTCACATATTCAGAAGTCATTGTTAAGAAAAAGATGTCTGTGGATAAAGGTTAAAAACCCTCTTCACTACAATTGGACAATAGAGTCATCAGTCATTAACCAGTAATGTTGATGGTGTGTCTATGTATGTTGCATAATTTTTTTTGCAGATGATACCATGGAAGAGTCAAATGATGTAACATACTCAGAAGTCATTTTTTGGGGTAAACTATCTCTTTTAGTATGAACCATCATACTACATCATGCTACAGATCAGAATGATTCCTGAAGTCAAGTCGCTCATTGAGGAAATGTATACATCTTACATTTGATAATTATTTTATTGTTATTGATCATTTGTGTTCTTCAGATGCTGATGCTGGAGTTGGTGATGCAACTTATGCTCAACCTATTAGGAAGAAGAATAAAACACGTAAGAATTATGTTACAACTGTACAATAATTTTACAATAACTGACAACAAGCTTACAAGTTGCACTCGTTCCTGCAGATTGTGGCATATATTGGTTCTTTTTCATTATAAATCTGCTTTCAGTTCAGTTACTTGTGATGATCAGAAATTCATCGTGATCTTAGAACAGTAAATCATCAGCAGAATGAGCTCAAATCAGAGGTTTGCATCATTCACATCTCCTGCATAATGCATCATCTTTTCTCTGTTTAAAGGTCCCTGAGTGCAGAGAAGACAACAGACGGCTAAAAGAGATTCACACCAGCAGACACAGTAACGCTTGCATTGCTTAAGAAATGTGAACTGCTTATGCACATGCTTGACTGAAAGACTTTATAGATACTTATGCACTGTATTATCTGTACAATTGCAAACAAATCTATCTATAACATATAGTAAAACATTTTTACCAGTGAGCACTCATGTTTAACACAATTCAGTGTTAACTGCCCTAAAAGTTATTACATTATTCTACTGGTGCTGCAGAGCAATTAAATAAATAGTATAACATATAGAATCAATAGTATAAAACAATAAAGTGTAATTTGGCACTTGGTTGATAGTTAAATATGTTTTTTGTCTAACAAAATAATGCTTGTCTTTTTGCCAAGTCATTAAGATGGATAAAGATTTTTTCTTATCCACATACTGCTTTTTACATTAATATATTTTTAATTTTCATTTAATCAAGTGTGAGATTTATATTTAATAACTAAGAATACAAACTAAATCAAATATTTGTATGTTTCCTTTGCATGAGTTTTTCACAATTGTTAATCTACTGCCATTTTAGGTCAAAGTAATTCCAGGTTAGCAGCACTAAACAAGTCAACCTTTTTGTTGTTGTTGTTGATTATGCAGTTATTGTTATGAACAAAATGAACGACCATATTTTGGACAGTTCACTGCATGTCACGGGTGTTCTCTGAGTATTTTCTGATTCTTCTCTAATACCATAAGTAAAAAGAAAGCACGGTAAGTACACATTATGTGTATGAAACTGATAGCAATCATAATTCAGTCCGTGTTTTGATTTTCAGAGCATTGTGAAATCATGGTTTACAGAGCACCACTATTAGAGTAATGTATCTTTCCTGCGCTGGAATACATGTTTGTGTCTTTAGCATCCTTCACCAGATATGAGGCATGCAAATCACGCAGATACTGATGAATAAACCATGAATTAACACTCGTGAAGGCCTGTTCATTTATGTGAGATTACCTTGTGCGGTCAGTCATAGTCCTTGTGGTGGATTCCTGAAGTAAAGATGCTCAGCATCATCTAGTTTCTAAAAAGTACCAGAAGCTATAGAATTATCTTAAGCACACTTTGAAATTCAAGTTCTTAAAATAAGACGCATGATAAACAAACCAAAGCAAACCAGAAGAATCTCATCAGCTCTGATGTGTTGAAAAGTGATGATACACTCATTCACCCCCATTGCGCAAGTTACAGAAATGAATTATTTATATTATTAAAATATACAAGCATGTAAAAGTTCAGAGGAGTTCAAACTTGAACACAAGTTTGCAGCATGCTTTTAAGTTGCTTCCCTCTACTTGTAGATATGATCTGCCTTTATGTAGGACTAATATATTTAAAATATATATATTTTATGTCAGCTGCCATCAGCCTTTTAAATTGCAAATAAGTGTATGTAAATTATTAATGGAAGTCTTTGTTTGTGTCTGTGTTGTGGTGATGGGTGCTGGTTTTCTTGATTGTATGGTTTACTGCTGGCTGAGGAACAAATTGCCTTCTTGGGGATAATAAAGTATCAGGGTCTCTAATATAACCAGCCAGCAG